CTGGCAAGAAGAACCAGGAAGCAGGAAACCGGCGCCATCTTGTAATGTCGGGAGTGGCTCCCGACATTGGCCTGGGCCTGCCATAGTGCCCCCACTCAGCACTGTATCTCATAACATCATGGGCCTTTGAGAACCCCATGTGGAAATGGATATTTCACTTCAAGACCCGACCTTCTCATTTTCCTGCTTTTACTAATTGCACCCTGCTTTATCAATTTCTTCTCTACATTTATTCAATGACAAATTAAAAAAAACAAAACAAAACAAAAAACAACCAACTCTAATAAAACGATCATTTATTGTTACAGGACTACCAACCCCTAGCCACAGACCTCTGACATCATCACCTACCGCTGCCAGGTCAAGCCCGGTGGACTCCTGATATAAAGGATCCGCCCATCACTGCTCCCTCTCTGTCTGCCTTTCACTCCCACCCATCACACCTTTTTTCTCTTCCACGCTCTCCCTCTTCTCCTAAGCTCTCCCACTGTCTGTCTCTTCCCCACTCCACCCTTAAATAAACCTCTTTGTATCAGACCTGTGCATGGCATATAATTTATATATTAATTACACGGGAGATTTGAGACTTAGGACTACCAAATACATCCTGACAGTGAGGATCAGCTGTGTTGACACAGCCAGACAGCAAGGAGCGGTCTAAAGAGCACAGTGCTCTCTTTCCTGCCTCACCAGTCACCCCTTCCTATTTCCTTGCCTTTTACAGTTAACAAGAGGGAGGGATGTTGGTAATCTGAGACCCACCCACGTTCCAGAACAGGATGTTCCTCCACCCCTCCCCTGGGCTTCCAGGTGACTCAGCGCCTGCAGCTCATCATCACTAGCAGCCAATGTGACATGTTTCCACCGTCACCGAGGTCACATTTGTGCCCTATGTGTTCCATAGGGCACACATAGTGCGTGTTCCATACCCTTTATAAAGCCTGGTGTCATCAGGGCTTGCTGCCTTTCTTTTCCATCCCTGCTCAAAGGCAGGTTTGCATGCCCTTCCCCTCCCCCCAGCAAATCTCTCTCGTGAGGTCCATTGCATGGTGAGATTTTTGTGGAATTCCTTGGCCCTCCTTTCCCTGCATGACACAACACCAAGGGCTGAAAGTTTTGAAACAGTGAGCCAACATATTAACCTTGTCTCTTTTTGGCTTTTCTCATTTTTGTCAAAGTGATGGAAACCTAGTAAGACCCAGAACTCATTCTGGGAAGAGGAAGAAACGGCAGGAGGGAGGGGGACCTGCAGAGAGAGGAAGAGGCAGGATGCACACTGGGAAACTGGACATTAGCAGCAGGGGGCTTTGAACTGGGCACAGTATGCTGATTATGCACAGCGGAGTTGTTTTGTTCCCGCCTGCTGGGAAGGGCCTGGGGTGTTCAAACAGGGTCGGAAAGATTGCTCAAAGCACCTGGATTTCCCTCAGGGCACCATGGGTCTGCAAAGAGCCCAGAGGCTCCTTTATCTATAGTTTGTGTTGAATGTTGCAGGGTGGAACCTAGTGAGCTCCCACACAGACTGAAGAGGGTATGGTGACACAGATGGGTTTCAGAGCAGCTGGGTGCTGAGACAGTCCTTCCCCAGTCTGCCAAGCCTCAGCCAGTGCAGGCTGAAGCAAGCCCCATGGGAGTGTGTGCTTTGCAGGCAAGTGGTGGGGTCGGAGTTTGGAGGGGCGATATGAGCGTGATTGCTGACCCTGGCAGAAGAGCTTTGAGGATTGCTGTTGACATGTCAGACCTCAGGGGTCCTCACACTTCCCTGCCAGACTCTCTAGAAGGCTGCTGTGACCTTGGGCTTGCAAGATGCCCCTCATGCCTAAACTGGGGCTGGCTCCAAGAACACAGACTGCTGCAGCTGTGTGGTGAGGGGTTGGCGGGACACAGAGGCTCATTCTTCTGAAAGAACACACAGCCTTAGGGGGCAGCAGTGGGCCATAGTCTCTGGAAGCCAGCTGGGAGCCGGCTGGCTCCTACATTGATGGATGCTGTCTCATCCACTCTCTCTGCCCAGGGAGGACGTGGCCTTCTGGGAGTGAGCAGCTGGAAACCCTGAAGAGTGTGAGGAGTGGTGACAGAAAACAGTTAGTAGGTGCTTTACATTTTAGTTCTCTTTTTTGTTTTATTTTTTTCTTGGCTTAGGGCAAGTGTGGCCTCAGATGGACAGGGGAGCCCATAGGCGGAGACATGGAAGACAGTGCTCGGTGAGGCAGCTTGCAGGTCGTTCTGCCTGCTCAAGGCCCTATGGCTCCGTCAGAGAGTCCTGAAATAAACCAACTGTAGCAGGAGGACCTGAGAAGACAGCAGGGCTGTGCAGACCGCCGGCTTCATAACAACGCCATCATTTTCGCTAACAGTGCCATCAGTATTTTCACCACCCCCAGGGGGTGATGGCTTATGACCCCCTGGCGTCTTGTTAGGGGGCTTATGGGACCACTCTGGACTTGGATTGGGTGATGATTTCTTGTTATCGTCAATCCACTTGTTGAAGTATGAGACCCTGGTGAAGACACTGGGGGTGGCGATTGGGGTCTCACATGATGCGCTCCAGCTGGTCAGCCCCACCACGTACCAGGAGCCATTCAGAGAGCAGACGAGGGGCCCCCCAGAATCTCCCTGAGAAGAGAGAGGACATGGGTAGTGGGTCTAATCCAGGGAGGAACATAAGTTGACCGGGCTGGAGACACTATAATGGCTACCTCTGCCATCTGAGTAGCTCATCAGGGCCATCTGAGCCATTTAAGGAATCTAAGCACAGGCTGCCTCTTGAGTTATTATCCTCAGGGAAGGGCCCTGGAGTCCCATTCCACAAAACTGCCACCCATTTGGTGGACAGTCTAGGAGCTGGATATCTGCTATCTGCACTGCTGTCTGCGTGGGAGAAGTCTCTGAAGTACCAAAGGGTTGGTGATTGACTAGTTGACCTGGAGGCATAACCTGTCATCTTTGGTTGAATCCCTTATCCCAGAACAGCATCCCGAATGTTGTACCTTTGTGTTTTGCTTAGTAATGTTTGTTACTTGTGATTCTTTAGTTCCTTGGCTGAGTTCCTTTTAGAAGATGCCAAGGTGTAGGATGTGTTGAGCAGAAGAGAGGCATCACCTGGATCTAGTCAGGGTAGAACCACAGGAGGTTCTGAGGTTCCAGGAGAGAGGTGGGGACTTCAAACACAGCAGGCTCTTGAGATGGGAAACCAAAAACCTCAAAACCACAGTCCCCACCAACCTTGTGCAGAAACGTATGCCAAAACAACAGTCTTTGTTCACAGGGCACTCAGGCGATACAGGGGATTGCGGGGACACACCTGCAGACCCTCTTTAAGGATAGCAGGGTGCACAGATGACAGGAGAGCCCTCAGGGGGATGCACAGTCAGCACGTGAAACCACGCAGCACACGGGGTTGACTCTTTCTGTTGTTAATGCAAAGCTTGTGAGTTGGGTTCCATTTCCAGAAATCACATTGTGAAGAGAAACAACTACCACAAGTTGCCCTCTGAACTTCACACGTGCGTGCATACACATGCACAAACACACACATACACACAAGAGAGAAAGAGACTAAATTAATTGATTCTTTCAAAATGCAATGCAAGCTGGGTGCTCTATGCATGTAATCCTGTTATCTGAGGCAGAGGCAGAGGAAAGATTACAAGTTAAGACAACCTGAGCTACACAGTAAGATCATTTCCAGACAGACAGATGACAGATAGATGACAGATAGATAAATAGATGATAGATATATAGATATATACAGGAACCTATACCTATATATATATATTTTTACATATAAACACACACATATATATGAGGGGGGTCTGTGCTGGTTAGGGGGCCCATAGGACTCCTTTGGTTTTGGATATATAGGTACAGGAATCTATACCTGTATAGATATATATAGGTCTGTCTATCTATCTATCTATCTATCTATCTATCTATCTATCTATCTATCT